ATTTCCACGAAAGTAAATGAACAGTCACTGTCAGCACAGATATCATCATCGGACCTTATTCCCCCTCCATGCAATCTGAAAAAAGCCAAGGGGTATACATTACATTCACCTTGCCCTGATCGGAAAGACCTTTTCTTCTGTGCCTCTTTACGGCTGGTGCTCATTTGCATAAGCAATCACTGCCTTCGCTTTTCCGTCGCTCGTGCAATATAAACAATACCGAGTTTGCGTGGTGTGACTTTTCTTCATGCATTGACGATGGTAAAAGCCTCGGGTGGGACAAAACGACTAACGATGCCCGGAACGAATATGAGACACCCCGGCCCCCCGGGGGCGGGTTCCCGCAATCACATTCCCTCCAGCAGCAGCCTCATCATCTCGAGGCTTCTACAAATTTTCAATAGTCACACATAGCGTGACATGTTAATGCAGTCTTTCCTGGTGAAGAGAATTGAGTTTTTAGCAGGTCGACCAAAAAAACTAGGAAACGATCGACCAATTTTTCTTTCATCTGTTTTGAAATGAGAAAGAAAGAAAAGCGAGTCAGTATATACACTGTATATATGCAGTATTTGTTAACAAGATTCCTGGCTAAAAAACGTTTTTGATTTAGGATTTTTTCTTCCCACAAAAACTTTCCAGGGAGAAAACCTACATTATTTGTGCAGAAAGCATTATACAGCTAAATATGAGATCATTTTGGTAAAAACAAACCTTTTTCTCTATGTGATAATAAATCTCCCACAGCAGTTGAAAAATCCAAATTTGATTTAGACACTGAAATGAAGGGTAAAAATAGGAATCAGAAGATGATAATTTTGTACTGAAATGCAAATGACTGCCTGTAAACACTAATAATATGCATTATATGTTTGTTTAGTTTTTCCTGCTTTTTAACATAATGACTGTATTTATGTTTCATTGCACAGTCAACCCCTGCACAACAGACCTAATTTGTGCAACAGACTAGTTTTATGCAAAGAGTCTGTTGTGCCAATTCAATTACAGTATTAAAAACTAACATTAATACTTTTCCCGATTAATTCTAAACCAACAGAAGTCCATTATGCAGATTTAGTCCATTGCGTGGGAGGGAAAACCACATCCAGAAGGCAGTCTGTTGTGCAAATATCTGTTGAGTGGAGTTCAGTTGTGTGGGGGTCAGTTGTGTGGAGGTATATTACATTTTTCATACGTCATTTGTGTATAGTGAGCCATGACCAAATATTTGGATGTGAGCCTCTGCTGAGTAACGGAGAAACACTTTTTCTTACATAAAACTGTTTATGCTAATGTGTTCTATATACATCCCTATACTTTACAAAATTCTGCAAATGAAGTTTTACAAAAAGGACAATGTTCCAAAGGACTTTGGGTGTTCTGATTTCTGCATGACAGAATATTGTCACATTCTTATGTTCATTTTCAAAAGCATATTCAAACAAGGCAGACAATATGTATAAAATGAATGCGCAGATAGAGCAGGACTGAGCGGCAATTTGTTCTACTATTGCCACTGTGATGTATTCTGATAAATTTGAAAATCTATGAAAAGATACTTGAAAACAATTTCTGAGCCTTTAAAACCTCAGGATTATATACTGTATGTTCTGTCCCAAAGCTGAGCAGCTAATGCATCCAGCCAAGGAAACTCCTTGCATCTTCATGCCAGTGACCCTTGCAAAAATCCTGTTTTTGCAAGACTCACTGAGCCTCACCCAAGGCCAAGAAGTGGTCATCACTTGCATAATTTTTCCTGAATTGACCAATCCTGAGCCAGGATGAAATCACCTGATTTATTTCTGACCCAGTCTGAGCACCTGAGCTACTCAGACTCATTCCTCTTTGAGAGGAGAAGTGAGAATTTTGTGTTAAAGAGCCTTTTCACTTAAATTATCTGATCCATTCTTCTGAGCTAATCAACCAATCTTACATTTGACTCTGCCATTCCAAGCATTTCATTAAGTGCCAAATGACTATCTGGGCAATCAGAATGAACTCATCTGAAATAAGAGCTTGAGTTTGTATGCAAAACTTTTGTTCTGGTGGCTGCACAATTCAATTCCTTTGTCTGGGATCCAATGGACCCGTGACACATATGTATGTATTTTATGTACAGGGGTATTTAATGACACATTTGGGCCACTGATGCTGGCTATGAATCTCCTTGGGTCCTATACATTCTTATGACTTTCCTAATATTCCTAGCTTCCCAATACAATTTTTCAAAAAAGTTCCAAAAGGTATCCTTGAATTCGTCCCTGATTTGTGAATCCGAGAAAAATTGTCTTAAATCCACAAAAAAAAACAGAGTGAAGTACTGTACATTATAATTTGCTGCAACACATTTTTTGGACGCACCCTGTATGTATGAAAGTCATCGTTTCGCTGGTATCAAAGCCGATATCGGAAGCCCTCAGATAAAAGCTTCTTTCGAAAACTCATCCAAGTGAACTTCGTGCTCGTTTTTAGGTGTCATTTATCTGACGTCATTTATTTACGATAGACTTTGCTGTCAAGAATGTGGACATGGCAAACAATTGACGGTTCGTCAATTGAGAAATTTCCTGGAGCTATTGTGAATGATTTTTATACCGTGGAACTTGAGGATATTTTACTCATACTTTTGACAAAGTGAGGTACAGTAATTCATGAAACACAGTCATCGTTTCTCATAATTCAAGAATTTCAAACAGGTGTCTCCCCTCAAGAAAACGTGTGTAATCATGATGGAGTTATTTACATAAAAAAATTCTTGATCAGGATTGAATTGCAAAATAAATTTATGTCGCACAGAAAATATTTCCACACAAGAAATTGATGAATTTGCCGCAATTTTTAGTTCCTTCTTTTTGAAATTTGGTTTTGATGGTGGCAAATATATTTTCAACAATGAAAGTTGCATGCTAATTTGTGCCTTTTCAATACTGCAAATTGTGTACCTTTTCTAAAAGTTGAGAGCTTGAAAATTCCAGTGACAATTCAATTTTATATCGAGCATTTTCATGCTCAGAATTTCACAGAAATCAGTTGTTGAACTGCACAAGACTGCAGAAAGTTGCAATAAATGTCCCGTTTGAATGCGGTTTCATGAAAATTCGAGTTGCTTACAAAACGTTTTTAATAATGAACATTATTCATATGTGCTACAAAAGAAATTTTAATGTCAGGGAACATCATATCGCAGCAGCGGTGAAGTGACAGTCCATCAGAACTTCGTTGGTTAAAAACTTGAAAAAAAAACGTGAAAATTGAGCCGCATATTCATGAAATGTACGCGAATGAAACTAGTGGAATTTTACATGAGAAAACTCAACAGAAAATTGAAAATTCTTAGGAGAAAAGTGACAAATTTTGGAGGAGCAGCAGAAATCTCTGGTTGGTTGAATCCGATGCAATGATCCGCGTATTGGCACACGAAAGACGCATGATCGTAGTAACTCATGCTGCTTGATATCGTCGTGAGAATTCCATCGGAAGTTGAAAAAGATTGAGCCTTTATTCCGATTACCGTCGCAGTTTGGGTACCGTAGTCAAGAACAACCGGAGATCCCATGATTCCCTAAAAGAAAAAGATGAAAATTCTAGCGTCAAGTAAAATGGACCAATTTAAAAACACCAATTCCTCATGAGTGATTCTCGAGCATTCCTTCGAAAAAAATACTCCAAATGAAGCACAATGATTTTCTTCTCCACTATGCTCAAATTTTTGGTTTTTTTTTTTATATTTTCTGCCAGAAACTGGCACGTGAAAGAAGTTGCCGGAGGGTTAGTTGTAGAGTGTTACTACACCCTAACCAAATTCCCTTCACTGTGAATACTGAACCACTTTCCCCCGTATGGATCCCCCAGCCTCAGAACCCACTTGAACCTCGCGGGAGCAACAGCTCACGCGGGGACTCACCCCTCGCGAAGGGTGGCAAGAACAAAAACTGCAAAGTACAAATGTGTACCAGTGTTCTAGGAGCCAACCTTTTGTGAAAAATAATAATAAACAAATACTAATGGAATTTAAAACCTCTAGATTTCAGAAAATCAAAAATGAGCAAAACGTTTACAGAAATACATCACATCAGTGAGGACAAAAATTCCAACGATACAACACAAGAACAAGGCAAGTTAACAAAAACAAATCGAATCAAACAAATATTAATAAGATCCCTATCAAATACAGATACGGTAGAGGATCACATCCTAAGCAAACCATTGGAGAAGCTTATGGATCAACCGCTGTTGCGTAATTTACCTCAAGATGAGGAGATTGTTGCTGTCGATGCACATGCAGGTGACGACACCCTGGCCCGATATTTACCAGCTTTACAGGATTGTGAACCGATCTGTACACTGGGTACAATTGCAAAACAAGTTGTGGAAAAAATTTACAAAAACGCAATGGCCAATTGCAACAAAAAAGATATCATGGCAGAATATAATAAAATACTGCCTCAAGTCGGAAATACAATTGTGGGAAGAGTGCCAAGAATCAACCATCCATTATGGAACATGCTTTCAAAAACTTCAAGAAGTGTGGATGCAACACTGCAAAAGATCCAAAATATGCTAATGTGTGTGAACAGTTGAATAGTGAAAGTGTTCATTGATGAAAATCTACCCGAAGCGTTGAGAGACACAATGGGAAACACACTAAAAGCCCTGGCTTCATCATACATGATGCTCCAGGAAGAGAGAAAGAAAAACGTACGCAACAACACAAATGAAAATGTGCGTGCAGCTTTCCAAAATAATAGGATCCCAACCCAGGCTTTTGGAAAAAGCTGGGTAAATTTGTCAGATGGGGATCTTGTGAAGGAGATCGACCAGCTTGTAAAGGCGGATCAAGCGCTAAAACCGGGCATGTCAAAACAAACTTGGAGAGGAAAATCTCCAAGCATGCGTGGCGGTCACAATAGCTACAGATCCAGACCATACGCAAGGCCACAACCCCAAAATCGATTTCAGAATCGTTTTTTAGGGGAGGGCCAACCGAACAAATTTCGGCGTCAAAACGAGGAAATGCCGCAAAACTCCTTCAGGGGACGAGGTACCTGGAGGGGCAGACGAAACTAAAGGTCAGTTCAATACCAAGTGATTTCATTGGAGGAAGATTACGTTACCACATAAATTTCTGGAGAAGAGAAATAACGCAAGATCCGTGGATCCTTCAACTAATTTTGGGCGC